CCAATCTGTTCTCTGCATCCATGAGCTTGGTTTGTGGGAGGGGCTTTGGTATTTTTTTTTAGAGTCCACATGTAAGTGAGATGATGCAGCATTTGCCTTTGTCTTATTTCATTTAGTATAGATAGTATAGAGCCCTTGAGTCCATCCATGTTGTCACAAATGGCAAGATTTCATCCTTTTTATGGCCAAATAATATTTCAGTGTATATATTCAAATATTATTTTTATTCATTTATCCACTAATGACCGCTTAGGTTGTCTCCAACTCGTGGCGTTGGTAAAGAGTGCTTCTTTGTACTTTTTTTGAAACTTTCCTGTAGGTCATGTATTTTCCAAAATAGAAAATTCTAGAAGTATATATCATGATTCTACTAGCACCAGTCAACGAACTGTTTTACTGCCATTAATCTTGAAGATTCGTGTTTTTTATTTAAGTACAAAATGATTTGCTTCTCTCTCACTCAAGACCTAAACTCCTAAAGCAATCATTATTAACTGTGGGTTATCTTTACATTCTTTTCTTTTGTGCTCTGATAAATGAGCTACTGATATTGTTGTAATATTAGGAAGAAAGTATTGCATATCAATTCAGATGTGAGCTCTGAAGTCAGACTATCCAAATTAGAATCCTGCCTCTTACACTCTCTAGTTACACAAACTTCGGTAAGTTTCTTCCCTTCTCTTGAACAGTCTCCCCAGCCGCAGAATGGGAATAATCATAGGGCTTATCATATAGTATCTACACCATGATTAAACGAAGCAATGAGTCTGAAGCACTTAACTGTTGCAGGCACATAATGAATGCTTAGTAAATGTTAGCTGTTAGTAAACATTAGCTACCGTGTACTCATCAGTCTCATTGTTGGCTCCAGTTTCTCAACCCAGGTGTTTCTTTTTCTTTTTGCTTTGACATTCAATTAATCATTCTTCTATTATATGTATCCTTATTTAAAGGGTAGCTTTCTGAAACATGGCAAATTATAAGTGTTAAAAATAAAACAAACAAGTGAAATTAAAGGATGGGCTTTTACCCATAGGTTATAAACTCACCCTTAGAATTCTCAGCCGGCTGCTGCTCTGTTCAGGGACTTCACTATCAACAGTGTAAAGCTGAGAGACTCGTAGCATTACAAAAGATCTGTGCCCTCTGTTCCAGAGCATAGGCTGACAAGGACTACACGAAGGCAGGCAACCTCAGCCCCACATAACAGTTAACTTTCTACAGATCTTGTTATCACTTGGCCCCAAAACTACATTAATGGCTTCATTATCTTCCTTTTACTGACCACATGCTGCATACCAAGGACTGTTGGCACCATATGTACATTGGCTCACTGAATCCTCATACTAATGCTATGTAATAGGAATCATTAAACCTGTTTTACAGATGAGCAAAGTTACAAGCTCAAAAGTCTAACTGGCAGAGCCAGGATAGGAATCCAGACTGTACTCAAATCTGAATTATATCCAATATATTCTTCTGCCCTTGCATATGCATAAACACACATAGAAAAGAAAACATTAATCACATATATCAAGGACACCATTTTTATCTGACAATCCACATAAATTTCCTAGAAATACCTTTTATTGAGGTCTTTTTGCTTTTGGTTAGTACTGCTCACTACAGCTTTTCCACTTACAAAACAGGCAACTGTTGGTTAAAATTCTATCAGAAAATTTCACCCCTTGCAACCAACAGAATAACTTTGCAGCAAAAACCTGGGAAGAACAAACGACTTTTGAGAGGATGCATCACTTGATGGCAACACCAAGCAGACTACCAGAAAAAGAAACAGAAGTCACTTAATCAGAATCCAATCATTTTTTCTGGCTCTCCTCTCATGGATGCAAAGGGAAAGATAAAAATTTCAACAAAAGCCAAGGTTTTAGCGATAGGCAAAGGAAATGAGAGGAACTTCCCTTATCTGTCAATACCTCCTCCAGCCTACTTGATCCAAGGCAGGGGTAACGCTGTGTTCAAACTTAAGGAGAAACTCAATCTTTACTTTACACAGAGATAGTGCTGCCCTGAACAGAGGAACAAAAAAGAGAGAGGTTTCTCTGAACCCTTTGAAACCCCCTCCTTTTAAGTCTTTGCAGCCCTATATAATTCCACTTCACCATTAAGACCACTACAAATATAATGCAATTTAACAATTAATTATTTCTGTGCACTGCCTGTAGGTAACCAATCTGCCTGGCAGTGGCAATTGTAGCTCAGCCCTATTAAAAAGCCCAACAGGTACACTGTGGCTTGCAGGAGCCAAACCTACGGATCGATTCTCCCATGAGAAATCAGGCCTGCATTATACCTAGGCTGCTTTGTGACTTGCTCTTGCTAAAACTCCCTCACCCTGAGTTGAAGCAGCAGCAAATGCTTACTGCATATCTCCAAAGTAACTGTAACAGGGTGCAGCCAAGAGGGGGGGAGCCCAAACTGGGATTTGCAATGGGGTACATAACTCAAGGTGTCCAGGAAATATTAGAAAAATATATAGGATGTCCTCATCACCCCCCACAGGTGTTGAGTTGGGGGAAGGGACACATGGAGCAGGGCCACTGAGAGCTGTTTTGCATAGCAACAGCTTTGCAGCTAACCTCTGGTGTGGTCATTTAACATATCTATAACCTTTAACTGGTTGCACAGATATGTTAAATAGCTGTGGCCATGCTTTGAGCCAAGGGGATGGGAGTGACTTCCACCCAAGATGGAACTGCGAGGGGCAGCTCCCTCTGGTTACAGCACCTGCATGAGAGCTTGGAGAACACTGGCTCCACACCACGGGGACACACCTGCCCAGACTTACGATAGCAGCGCAGTAAAGCTGGAAGAATACAGGAATGCTGGCAGGTGTAACTGATTGTAGGAGGAGTCGGAAATGGGGCTGCAGAAGAAGAATGGTGTGGGGATTTAAACCCAGATGCCACAGCCATTGAGGAGAGAACTACAGGGCTTTGGCAGAGTGGGGACCCCCACAGCTTTGCTGGGAGAGAACCACACGGCTTTGGGGTGCTCCCTTTTGCCACGTGGCTTAGGAAGCAGGAGAGACTTTGCCTGGAAGGAAAGGGGTGAAAGGACTCTTGCTGGTGGGCCATGAGAAAGTACCACATGGCTTTGGATTAACTGGAGACTGTGGTGGTGACACAGCTTATGGTGCCAGGAGGCTGAACCACGGATTTCTGCTTCTTTTCCTGAGATACGGTACCCCAGATTAGGGTAGAGGGAGAAGGAAGGACTGTGGGTGTCTGTGGGTATCCTAAAGGACTTTAGTATTTTAATGAAGACATTGGGTCACTACTTTAAGTCTGTATAGCTTTTAAATAAATAAGCCCTTTCCTCTTCACCAGTCTCTGGCATTGAAAAATGTCTTTCCTCTGACAACAGGCATAATGAACCTAGTGGGGGGTCCTTTTGGTAACAGTGTATCATGCACCCCCCCCTTTGGGTCTGCTCTCTAACACTAGTACCGGTGGGGGGTACCACTTGGTAAGAGTGTATTGTTCACCCCTCCCCCACTCGGGTCCGTTCTGTAACAGTTTTGGCGACTCCAGCGGGAGGATAACTGCCCGTGGCAGACCCACCCCCTCAGGATTTTCCCCAGTCTCCGAGAATTTCTCCGCACTCCTCCCGAGGGCATCGGCCACCTAATCACGCCCAGAAAGGTGAAAAGGAAACGGATCAGGGAACAGAGCAAAGAAGTGAAATGGTTTTGTAGAAAACTGGTTTCTGAACACTGTCAGAATAATGGAGTTGTGGATGATGGTTTGGTTAGTGTGCTGCTCCCAGGTTGCCCCTCTCTGCTCGCTTACAGTTTCGGGGAGCCCAGACGGCACTAAGGGAACCTGTACTCAGGTTTGGGGAGGAAGCAAACCCCTAGGCTCTGTAAGCCAAGCCTGCTTGTAGGGTGGGGATCAGACAGCAAACCACGTGGGTGTGCCGCCATTTTGGGTAAAATGGAGGATGAGCCACGTGAGTGCCCCACAATGGAAGATGGGTCATGCATGCAAGTCGCCATCTTGGACGACCTGCATGAATGGGGGCGGCCATCTTGGATGATGGGTCACCTGAGAGTTCCGCCATCTTGGAGCTGGGCAAGGTGGTGGGCCAGGGGTTCTCTTCAGATTATGGGCTGCGTGTTGCTGCTGTGTGGGCACTGCACCAGGCAGGTGCTCTGTGCAACTGGTTCTGATAGGGAGAGCTCTGGTTCTGAAGGTCGTGAACTGGGGTTCAAGGGTGACCATCTGATTTATAGGGGGTTTGCAAGGTGTAAGCTTCAGAAAGCTGCACAATGTCCCTGCGAATCTAGGGACTTTTGATGCCAGATACTGAGTTTAAGTATAGTCCTTCCCAGTGTGGGAAAGGAGCAGGGATTAAAAGTGAATTATGGTTAAATCTGGATGGGTAAAACTATGTAGGAAAGGTTGTGAAAGTTTTAAACCTGGAGGAAAGGAAACCTCAACTACTCGTTTTCTGGTTTTATGGGAAAGCAGCAAGTCTCTCCCATTGGTTCTGTTTCTGATCAGACACCCTCTGTATCTGAAGACCTGTTTAAGGTCACCTGTAAGACCTAGTTAAGGTCACCTGTAAGACATACAGAAGGTCGCCTGTAACCGGTTGGGGAGCATGCCTTTGCTGCTCAGAACCCAGGAAGGGTTGTTTGGGGCTGATGAGTGTTTCAGTCTGAGGCAAAGCAGCATGTCTCTGCCAAGAGTCGGGGCCTGAAGGAGCACGTCTCTGCCGAGGCACCGGTGGATGTGCTGGTGCCAGAGAATGCTTCTACCTGTGTATTGTTCTGGAACTCTGTTTTGGATTTTGCTCTGTATCTGCTCTGAAAGGGAAATTCAGGATTCCAGGGAAGGTTAACACTTCACATTCTGTGTCTTATTGGAAGGCAAGGAATCATGCTCACCACTCAAACAGGATTTTTTTCCTAAGTACCAATTCTGATCCACCAAGGCAGACCAGCCACCCAGAGTACCTTCTAATGCACAGCTTACCTTGTAATTGCTAGAGTTCACCCAAGAAGTAGCAAGTCCATCCACAAGTTTGTCTAACATGGTCTGGTCATGCTCAAGGTCAGCAGACTTCTGTTTGTCTGAGAAATAGTCTATAAGTTCTTGGCCAACCTGCAGTCGTTTACCTACATCCTTTTGCAACACCTGTGCCAGGCAGGACTCCATGCGAGGCTCCATAGTGAAATTCAAATCCAGATCCAGCAAAAGTTAGAGGGCAGTCACGGTGACACCCTCGCAGTAAACGTTCCCAGGAGGTTGTCTCTTTGTTTGAAGATTATTAAGAGTCCGTGTTTCAAAGATGTAATCCGGGGAATGGCAACAATGCACCATGTGTGTCTGATGCGCAGCTGGTAGGGTATTAAAAGTTGTTTTTAAATAACTAGTAAAAGATAAAGGAGTGAGTGGCAGAGTGATGTTCTATTGGATCTCAAATACTTTGGAATTCAGCAGTCCATTCTGAAAAGTAAGAGGAGAGAATAACAAATCAGCACAGATAACATAACACTCAAAATGTTCTAAAACATTGTATCAAAGACAAAGCAGTTCATGCTGCAGAATCTATTCACAAGTGGAGAATCAGAAATGCTTGGCAACCATATCAGAATAGTAATTATTATTTTTATCAGGAGAAACACTGAAGCCTAAATCAAAGAGCCAATGAGCTATACAGTCGGTGGGTTGAGTGTTTTTCACAATTTTCCAGCTCGTAAAAGCACCATCTCTGCTTTAGCTGGCATGTTTATTTGTAGCTTAAATTTCACTTCCCACCAAAACCTTACCACTCTGTATCTGGAGCTTACTGCCTTACTCTCAGTTTTCTAAACAACCAAATGTTAGAAATGGAGAGGGCTCCACAGAATACCATTAACCAAAGTGATAAGCATGGCAACATTAACCAAAGTCAAAGCCAGTACCTACATTAAACTTCTTGCTTAGTAGGTTTACAACAGAGTGAGAAGTAGCCACACCCTCCTCCCAACAAAAAAAGTAATGAAGGAAAAAAATGAAATCAGCTCATATTCTGTTCAATTACTGGCACAGTGCTCTCCACTGACAGACAGTCACACCATTTGGGCCTGGCATTTTGTTACAAAAGCAGGAGATCTCAAAATCACGTCTGGGATAGGACAAAACACGTGATACAGAAAAAGTACCAAAATCCTTTTCATTAAATGAACAAGCTGACCATTTAATCTACAGCTTCTGGAACAATTTTGCACACTGATTTTTCACTTCAATGCCTTTTATTCTAACCTAAAAAGACCCACAAGAAACCTACCTTCAAGATGCAGCATCTCCCTGACACTGACAATGCTAAAGAGAAATATTTTTTCACAGCCAACAAGAATCCCAACTCTCAGAGGTTCTAGCAGGAAAATCTAAACTTACCAAGTGCGTTTACTTTACCAAGTAAAATTAAAATTCTATGCAAGGTAATTCTTCCATTTGGAGCACAGTGATTCTTTCCCTAACATCAAGCAGCCCCATCCCTCCTGTCAGTACAAAAAGCACAATGGCTTTTGCAAATTCAAGAATCAGATTTTTGATACCAACAGGAATCATGTAAGTCAAGTCATTCAATGAGGAAAATGTGCCTTCAGAGCCCCTGGTGCATGCTTACTCATCTGCTTTACTGCTTCTGACAATGCAGCAGGCTAGGGGCAGGAGGAAATTCAAAACTCACTATCTCACATGGCAATCCTTCCTTAAAGGGAGGAGGGATCTATTTTCCAGTCACTTCCACATCCTGGATGTGGTCTCTCCCTCACAAGATCTTTAAATACGTAACAGCAGCTATTACCTTTCTGTCCAATTTTTAATTCAAACAAAGTATCTCCAGTTCCGTAACAGCTCATATGCTAGACTAAAGAAGTTATCAGTGATACAGGAATACAGAAGAAACCAACAGTACCTTCTCTTTCTAGACCCAATATTAGCCCAAGAAGCAGATCAAGGCTGGGCTTGTGAAATGGCCACAAATTCTTTGCTTCCCCTCCCTGACCAAAGTGGACTCTAAGTCACATTGAAACTGGAAAAGACACCGGAGTTCAGGCTGCCTGTCACTACCAAACCCAATAAGCAATGACAGCGATTAAATCTTTATGAGAAGCTTTATTCAGATGGCCAGTGATCTGAGAAGATTGTGGGTTCTTGTCTTTTCTTTCCAGCTCAAGGTTTTTGTAGCAGGGAATAAACAAGGTGCAGCAAGGGGTTTTGAAATTCAGGGAGGGTCAGGTAGGAGAAACTGCAACATTTCTGTCCTGGTCAGTTAGCTGTTCCCAGAGGCAGGTGGTCATTTGCCCCTCCCTGAAACACAATGGCCTGGATGCTTCCACTTATCCCCAGGTGGTAATTTTTAGTGGTGCCCCAGGTGGTGAGGTCAGCTGTTTTCCCAGGAGCCAGGGTGGACCTTATCTGTAGTTTCTGAAACAAAAGCTTTAACATATACATTACTTGCTAAGCTTATAACTATTTACCTTAAACTAAAATTTTCCAACTCTTAAGTCCCCTATCAACCTCCCACAGTGACTCTCGAATTGGCCCTGCGACTTGCTTTGGCCAGCTGGAAATCAGCAACTGCAAAGCAAGCAGGCATCTGACAGCAAGCACCAGAGCCTGCCCTCTCAGAATGCTGCCCTAAGACTGCCACACTGTAAGGAAGCTGTTCTCTAGCTTCCTAAACACAAGAAGCCACAAGCTCCAACTGACTTTAGCAATAAGTGTCAGACATGAGTGAGGCTGTCCAGTGTTGGGGACTGCCCTGCCTGATTTCAAAAGCTGTAACCCCCCATGGCTTAGGCTGAGTGAGAGACCTTGGGACCATAAGCCACTAAGGAGACAAAGCTTATCTTCCTGGCAGGGCACTGCCTCTGCCTCCTTTACTTCACCCTGCACCTGACCCACTAGACAATGACGGGTAAGATTCCTCAAGGGAGGGGTAACCTAAGACAGGTATGGTCTCCAAGGGGCCCTCAGGGAAGGACTTAGGGGGCTATAGAAAAAGGGGGTGATGGACTCTCACCCATCAGCTTGGCCATAGCCTGAGTCCTCATTCTGTCTGTAAGAAGTCTCCTAATCTCTTGGCTGCCTTACTTCCCCTGCTCACCTAAGCCTGAAACAATGACAGAGGGCAGTGAAGCCCTGGGCAGGAACAGGTGGTTCCCCTGGGTCAATCAAGTCAAAGAAAGAATGCATAAAATCCTGTGAAACCTGCTTTGCTAAGAAAGTCCTCAATTTTCTGATAAGGGTCCAAGCATCAAATGAGTTTGTTCCCCAAAGTTTTATAGCCCTTTAGCTAACTGACCCTGACTCAGAATAAGCCCTCATAGTTCTTTGTATGTTATCTACGTTTGATCATTACTGCCTGACAATGATGAATGAAGACCTTCCTTGAGGAAATGCTCCCAGAAAAGCAATAAAAGCCTGTCCAGGCAAGGGTCGGGGTGCTTCTTCTCTCAGAGACTGGCTATGACATTCTTTTTTCTCCACAGGACTTCCATAGTCCATGGAATTTCTTTGTTACATCCACAATGCCGCAGACACTGCTGGCCAGAGTCCGCATTAATCCAGGACCCTTCGGCCATTCCAGTCATGTTCTGATTGCAGCTACGCAAGTAAGTCTAAGGAGACAAGCAGAAAAACCACCTAGCCAAACCACAGAATTGTAAGAAATATTATTGTTGTTTTAAGCCACTAAGTTTGTGGTGGTTTGTTACACACCAACAGATAACTGGTACACTCCTTCCTTCCCTAAATATCTGCTTTCATGCTCGGTGGAAAGAATCTTATATCCCTGACTCCTTCAAGGGGCCTAAAATCAACAGGCACTAACAAATAATGATGATAACACCCTTTTTAACTGAATCTGAAGTGTTAGATTCTGTGCTACATGATTTATACATACCATCTCTACAACCAACTCTATAAAGTAGGTATTAACACCCCTATTTTACAGATGAAGAAACAATTAAATGTAAGTAATTTCCCAAGGTTACATGCCCAATGAGTTTTCTTTACCCATCTTCAAACCCTTGTTATTCCAAACCTGGCCTAGTTCTGTTCTGACTCAGAGAAAGGAGGTCAGACTTCATGCTTACCTGGGAAGCAACAGGCAAGAGAGCAAAGTCCCCATTTCCAAAGAGAAAAATGATCCCATTCATTCCAGTCTCTCTACTGTGATTTATAAAAGACATATTGCATAAAAGCCCTCCCTTAGATTTCTAACAAATAAATTAGGCTTAGCACACTCAAAAGTTGGTCACAAACTCCTGTGTACCAAGTACACAGAATTAAAGACACCGGAAGCCCCTAGGCGTTAAACAGACTGGGTCCTCTCTTTTCTTTTTCTTAATTAAAAAATAAAGAAGGAAGGAAGGAGGGAGGGAAGGAAGGACAGACAATTCTCATTCCTAGTAAACTGAATTTTTTTTGTGCCTTTTCCCAGCTTTTGTGCTTTTTCTCCATCTCTACCTTCATATGTATTCAGGGAATACCAGTTACACAGCTGCAAATTCACAAAGTACAAGGGGGCAAGACCTCCTCCCCACTCCTGCCCCCCAGCCACCCAGTTTCTCTGTCTGAGAGCAAATAATGTCCCACTTCCTGTGTGTCCTTTCAGAGAGATTTTTTAGCTACACAAGCAAATGATTATATGTGTTCTCTATAAACTTTCCCCCTCAGGAAGAATTTTCTAAGCATTTACAATTAAATCATAAAAAGAGAAAGCAAAAGCAAAGCAACTACAATAGCAGCAGAATTTCATAAAGACTTTATATTTTAAATGATTCAGAAAACTTAGAAAATAAACAGGAGAGGATATGGAAGTCTTGAAAAAGGAGGTGAGGGAAGATTTGGAGGGAGAGGAGGCAAAAATCTCTGCCACCCAGATCCTGGCCAGGTTTTGCCCTCCAGTAAAGAAAAGTTCAAAAAGGAAACTGAGGTCTGAAGTTTAACTGGAACCTGTAATCACAGCAGTTATTCATTAGTGAGCTAAATAAAAATGAGGTCTGTTATGTATGAGGCATTACTGGAAGGCCCTGGGACACAAGAAATTACAGGACACAGTCCAAGCTCCCAGTGAGTTTCCAGAATAGTAGAACACCTGTCCCTAATCCCTATGGCTGGTTCTATAGTCATCGGTCAAGACAGTGGCGTCACACAGAGCATCACTCTACAGTAGTGTTGATATTAGAAATTGCTCAGAACGTTAACACTATTTCCAAGTTATCTTAAAAAATAAAGATTAACTTTCACACATTTTCTAAAATAAGAGATAAAAATGATACAGAAGAAAAAGTAGGTGAGGTTAGAATAACCAAGAATAAACTTTTTCTCCTTAAATTATCAAGCTAATTTTCTCCTTTTGCAAAATCTCACTGTGGAAGCTATGGAGCCACACTAAATATTACTGAATCAGTCACCTGGAAAGACACATTTCAGGCATTTCTGAAAAATGC